ATCCATCCATCCATCCATCCATCCATCCATCCATCCATCCATCCATCATCTTTACCCGCTTCTTCCTTTTCGGGTCGCGGGGGTCACTGGTGTCCATATCCAGCCATCACTGTGTGAGAGGCAGGGGACACCCTGGACAGGTCTCTAGTCCATCACAGGGACACACAGAGACAAATGAGACAAACAACCATTCACTCTCTCACTCACACCTAGAGACAGTTTACAGTTACTAATCAGTCTAACATGTATGTTTTTGGTCTGTGGGCGGAAACTGGAGCACCTGGAGAAAACTCACGCATGCACAGAGAGAACATGCAAACTCCACCCTGAAATGTCCAGGGCCGGGATTCAAACCAGCAACCTTCTTGCTGAGTGGCGGCAGCTCTACCAACTGTGCCACCGTGCCGCCATTTATTTTACATTTTATATGATCATGAAGCTGATGTTTCCTCTTGGATTGGCTTTTATTTTGAACGTATTTGTAAAATCCTTTTTTGTGTAAAGTTGAAATAAAATGCGCTGAACTTCATGTTTGTGTTCGTTTTATTCGACTCATTATTTTGTTCTCTGTTCTCCTTAAACAGACAAAAAGAGAAACTTTGTTCTTAAACGATGAAAACAAAAAAAGGTTCTGATTACCCGAGTTTTGAAGTCAGTAAAAATTCTGTCTGAACGTTACGAACCATCATCTTTGGATAAAAACTAAACCAGAACCAGCAGCTCCAGTCCACCCCCCCCCCCCCCCCCCCCCACCACCACCACAGAGACCATCCGGTTCCTAGAAGTCGTCCCTCCAGCAGCGAGGACTTTGGAGGGAAATGAGACGACTTATTTTAGGAGACGTGAAGTTTCTCCTCTGACTGCAACAAGCCCAGACGGTTCTGGTGGTTCTGGAAGAGGACTATTGTGCGGGACTAAAAGGTTTGGATCCATTTCAAAATCATCTCGAGAAATAATTGCAAGAAAAGTTCACCACAAACAGATTTTATTGTAAAAATCAACGGTTCTGAACGGCTCGTTCAGAACGTTACAGCTTTGACTTTAGAACATATTTGCCTCCTCAAACCCTCGAAAAACATTTTCATTTTACATTTTATTTAGTATTTTGCTAGTTTTAGCTGTTTTTTCACTAGTTTTAGCTAGTATATTGCCAGTATTAGGTATTATTTAGCATTTTTTGCTAATTTTTTTTTATTTTAGCTAAATTGTTAGGTTTTTAGCCAATATTTAGCTAGTTTTGGCTTGTATCTTGCTAGTTAGTATTTTGCTTAAACAATTCTTTTGTTGATTTAAGATTAACAATTCAGTTTTAGCTTTAATAAAATGCAGTTTTTTGTATTCCGACCTTTTCCTCTCCTTTTCAGACAAACTGCTGTTAACCACCTGTTTGACTTTAATTTGCCAACAAGTTTCAAGATGTGCAGATTTCTGTTATTTCCACTCAAACGTTCCCTGAAATAAAGACAAACGCACAGAAACGTCCTCTGAGCTCTGCAGCTAAAGGCAGCATATGCCAGGTCCTGACCTAAGCGGTCCGAGCAGATCTGTGGATGAAATATGGCCCACGTGTGAAACCCTCCAGTCCATCTGGACTCAGATCCAGGCCTCAGACCCTGAACAGCTTCCCTTTGTTCCGAGGAGTGTTCTGCAGAATTCCTGGTAAACCACTTCAGCTGAAATCTGTGAAGGGTTGTGCAACACGTTGTGCTCATCTGAAGGCCAACCCTCCCACCCCCCAGCCCAGGTTCTGAAAAACCCTCAGCCATGGCCACTCCAGAACCCACCTCATTAGATCCTGAAATACTTTTTAGATTTTAAACCAAGGAAGGCAGCAGGAATTAAAAACCCGTGCTCTGACTCTCCACCAGTCAACACGAGTCACAAACGTCCTGCGGCGTGGTGAAACCAAAGTGAAATCCTACCTTGTTCTGGTTCTGGTGGTTCTGATTTCAGCGGTGAAGCGGAGCAGGTGTGAAGGAGAAGCAGGAGCACGCTGAGCGCTGCGGCCATGATGTTGAGCTGTGGTGGAAACATTTGGTGGCTGTTAGTTTCTCAACATGATCCACTCAGATATAAAGCCAGAGCAACTGAGGCTGGTCCAGCCCACTGAGACCACAGAACACGGCCCGGCCCACTGGCCCAAAGTCCCTCCAACACTTCACTCTACAAACCCAACAGAGCCTCAGAACTGAAGAGGACTGTAGTGGGAGTCCCTTCATTGTTTAGTTTGAGTTTTGGTGTTGTCTTTGATTTTCTACGGCAGCAACTCTTACTATCCTCCTCCAGACTAATTAGTATTCTTCTGCCAACTTTAATCAACAAAACACACATTGAAACAACCAGCTCCCGAGCTCTTACTTTTTTTTGACATTTCATTTACCATGGTGATGTAATCCATCAAAAAAGGCTGCACGACTTCAGATGCTAACAAAACTGTTTTCTCTGAAATATTCCATGAACCGCTGGATGGAAATTATTCAAAATAAAGTCATCCCTGGAGGTTCCTCTTTGACTGTAGACTTGTTTGGGTCAACTCAATTCAAAATGGCTGCCACAGCTACCTAGGCAACACAACAATAGCTACGCCTTTGTCCTTGTTAGACGTGCTGAGCTACAGTTTGGTGTGGAAGTGGATGAGTAACTTTTAGTTTTACTCCCAGCGTTAAGACTCTGTTGAGCTATTGCTGTTCACTCAAGATTTAAAATGGCCGCCATGGCTAATACAAAATGCCCAAGACTCCGTCATTTTTTCAATTTTATTGAGATAAAATGTGGTGTGGTAGTAGCTCAATTCAATTCAGTTTATTTATGTAGTGCCAAGTCCCAACAGAAGTCATCTCAGGGCACTGAACAGAAACTTTCATACCAACCAGTCAAGTTTATCTTGACATTCTGTGTTCGTCTGTCTCTCCTTCCTGTCCTCTCAACCAGCCGGTCAAAGCAGATGGACTCTTGTCCTGAACCTGGTTCTGCTGGAGGTTTCTTCCTTTTAAAAGGGAGTTTTTTCTTTCCACTGTTGCCACTGTGCTTGCTCAGGATAGGAGACTGCAACAAATCCAAGATTCATCTTGTCTGCTGGATTCCTCAGGAAGAAACCTCCAGCAGAACCAGGCTCAGGACAAGCGGCCATCTGCTTTGACCGGCTGGTTTGAGAGGACAGGAAGGAGAGACAGACGAACACAGAATGGTAGGTCCAGATGTACTTTCTATAGAAGGAAAGACAAAAAAAAAAAAAACATGTTAAGGATACAAATAACTGCAAATATAAAACAGGTAGAGTAGAGCTAGTAAAGACAGCAGAAATGAGAGGAAATGTGGTCAGTTTGTCCTTCAGTAGTCTGCTGATAGCAGCATAACAAGCCAACCCTAACTATAGGATTTATCAAAAAGGAAAGTCTTAAGCCTAGTTTTAAAACTGGATAATGTGTCAACCTCACGGACAGAAACTGGAAGTTGGTTCCACAAGAGAGGAGCCTGATAACTGAAAGATCTGCCTCCCATTCTGCTTTTGGAAACTCTAGGAACCACAAGTAAACCTGCAGCCTGAGAGCGAAGTGCTCTGTTAGGAAAATATGGAACAATAAGATCTGTAATATAAGATGGAGCTAGGTTGTTGAGAGCTTTGTAGGTTAGATGTAAGATTTTGAATTCAATTCTGGATTTGACAGGGAGTCAATGGAGAGAAGTTAAAACTGGAGAGATATGATCTCTCCTACTAACTCCAGTTAAAACTCTGGCAGCAGCATTTTGGATCAACTGAAGATGTTTTAAAGAAGTATTTGTACAACCAGATAATAAACCATTGCAATAGTCCAGTCTAGACGTGACAAATGCATGGACCAGTTTTTCTGCATCATTTTTAGATGTTTCTAATTTTAGTGATATTACGCAGATGGAAGAAGGCAGTTCTAGTAACGTTTTTAATGTGGGGGATAAAAGACATGTCCTGATCAAAAATAACACCAAAGTTTTCTTTTTTTTTACATGAGAAATGGAGGCCAAGTTAATGCCATCCAGAGAAAGTGAAAGACTGCAAATTTATTCATAAGATTCTCAGGTCCAAAACCAAAACCTCAGTCTTGTCTGTGTTCAAAAGCTGAAAATTTAGGGTCATCCAGGTTTTTATGTCTTTAAGACATGCTTGTAGTCTAAGTAGCTGATTGGATTCATTGGGTTTAATGGACAAATATAATTGTGTGTCATCAGCATAACAATGAAAAGTTACCCCATGCTGTTTAATAAGTTTACCTAATGGAAGCATATATAATGTAAAGAGTATTGGCCCAAGCACTGAGCCCTGAGGAACTCCATGACTAACTTTGGTGTGCAGGAGCGAAACATAAACATGTGCTTGTTTGTTTCTATTGTACAGCACTTTGGTTGGCTTTGTTGCTGTTTTAAGTGCACTATAAATTAATTCATTCAACCTTTATTTAGACAGGTAAATCCCACTGAGCCTCGAGGACTCATTTACAAGAGAGACCTGATTTCAACTAAGAATAATGACAACAATGGACAACAGCGACAACAATAGACAGCCACAAAAGAGGCACACAGATTTTTTTTTTTTTTTTTTTTACAAACAAGATGGCAAAAAATGTAACAAAAACAGCTAGATTCTAAGGCGAATGTAGAAAACTAAAAACAGGAACATGTCTGCATTGGTCCCTGCCAGGAGTCCAACAGATTGCTAAAGACACTTCCAGAGGTTAAATAAATTGGTATGGTATAAAGGTCCAAAGAGACGTTAGTGTATGCATCAGTTTGGACATAACTGTGATCATGCAGACGCTGCACGAACAATGAATGCATGAGCCAGGCATCGGGGTTGCCAAATAAATTTTAAATGTCTTATTTACCCCCTCCTTTTCTGTGCACGTGTTCAACAAGCACAACACACACCTCATCTTAGAATATCTTTACTCAGCACATATGACAGTTTAGGTCAAAATATTAACATTTTAACGCCACAGTACTAGAGTTCATAATTTCTTATCTGGCAACCTGACTGACATGGAAGCATTTTTCATGTAAACAGCATTTTTTTGTTTATTACCCCCAATAAACATTGAAAAAACACTAACATTTCTAGAGGTTGTTCTCTTGTAAACCTTATAGTAGGTAGATCACTTTGACTTGGTCATTTTAAAAGTAGCTTGCATGCTGAAAAAGTCTGGACGCCCATGCTCATAAGTCAGAACCAGATCAAGAGTGTGATGATGAAAATAAGTAGATATGTGGACATTTTGGGTAAAAACAATTTGACTAATAAATTATTAAAGACTATGTTTAAACTATCACTTTCAACATCTATATGATTATTGAACACCCTATTATTATGACTTAGTATTCAATAAAATGTCAGATAAAAAAAATCTGAGAATTTAGACAATAACTGAGAGTAAGCGCCTGGTGGATGATATATAACAACATGCAAAAGAGGCTTTTCTGATTTCCATTTTGGATGAAAAACTGAGGGACAACGGCTCAAAAGAATTATAACTAATAATTGGTTTAGTATTAATCAATAGTCGGGACTGAAAGAGCAGCTACTGAATGTAACCTCTATCTTTACTCCAAGGGTGAAGGAGTTGGCTCTTTGTTTAAAATTCAAAATGGCTGCAACAATAAAGAAAATGTGTTCAGAGGTGCAGAACTCCACGTTGGTGTGGTAGTACCTGTGAGTCACTGCTCTGAGTGTTATAATGTGAGACACAACACTACAAGTGTTTTTCACTTTGACCAAAACAACTTTCACTCTTTCAATTCAGAAAATAAGATGAGTTCAGTCTGAAACTTTGGCACGAGCGGCAGGATGACGTGCATTCCTTCAAGCATCCCTGAGCCTGTAATTTAATCTGTTTAAATTGTGAAAATCTGACGTTTCTTCTGCTTTAATCTACTTTGAAATCCCTAAAAGGCTGCCTGAGCAGAAGCGTGGAAGCCGTGGGCGGTCTGGCGGGTTTGAATGAGCTCATTGGATTCATTGTTTTCTTTCTTGGAAATCGCATCATTTAATCTTTAATGGAGAAACTCGTTCTGAGCCCGCTCCAACGTTGAGTCACTTCCAGCTCTCAGAACGTTCTCCTCTGCTCCTTCTGGTGTTTTTAGTTGGAGAGCAGAGCAGGGTGTTCCCTTAAAGGCCTGGTTTTAAGAGACTGCTCTAACGGTTCTGGGAGATCTCTCGTGTCCGTCCATCAGTTCCAGCTGTCAACTCCTCCCTCCGCTTCTTCTTCCCTTCATCTTTCCAGATGCTCCCAGATGTTCCAACCCCTCCCTTCTCATGGCGTCCTGATCGGATCTTCTTTGGTTTGACTCTTCGTCGTTGGTGATTCTGACGATGTGTGAGATCTTCAGGATTCTTCAGAGAAACTTCTTTCTGCAGCGTTTACGACGCCGCTTGGTTAAAGGTCCGAGCTTCACTTCCATGGATGTAACCATCCAGGACTCTCCTCCTGGTCTTCATTGAGAGGTGGACATTCGTCAGGACCTTCCTGAGGTCCAGGTGCAGGATCCTGGTCTTGATTCCTTTCAGAGATCTTTGGTCTGTTGTTATTGGAGCACCTAAATATTTGAAACCGTTGACTTGTTAGTCTTGATCCATTCTTTTTGTCCCCCACCGCAGAGCGGAGAGGGACCCTCCGTCCCTCCGTCCCTCCGCACAGTGTGAGCATCACAACTTCAAACATCAGTGAGAAACTGACTTCTGTTTTGGTGTGTGGTGTAAAAAGGTCACCATCAGAAAGTGGGTTCCCATTTCAAAATCCAAAATGACCACCCCCATATGTATATCTCTACACGTAAACCAACCACACATCGTTTGAGGAAACTGCTTTTTGTTTTTACATTGCTTAAAAGTATAGTTTAATCAAATGATTGGGGTGGCCGAAGATTAATCTATGGGGGGCCAAGGCCACCAATGGCCACCCCCTCCCTCCTTCATTGCACCTGGTGGATAAAATATCTCCCCCTTTTCTCCAGGATTCGTCACTTTGCCTCAGAGAAGAAATACTGTAAACCTCCCTCTGTTGTTCTCCACAGGAACTCCTCCAAACTTGAATATCTGGCACTAAAAACATTTAGGTTTACTCCAGTCTCTGCTCAGATGTTCACTCATCTCCAAATCTACAAAACCTTCACTGTTCAGATCTCTCAGTTGTTCTGCGTTTACCGTATTTGTCGGACTATAAGTCGCACTTAAAATCCTTTAATTTTCTCAAAAATCGACAGCGAGCCTCATAATCTGAACAACGCAGTACTGTGGTTTCACACATTTATGGAAAACAGGCGTAAAATGTGGATGTTTTAATCCCACATGCATTCCCAAGCACTGCACCATCATTTCCAAATAACCAGGAGGGAAATGGTCATCAAAGCACACCCGTGCACCACACTCACCACGTGCACGCGCCCCTGCAGCCCCGCAGAGGACGGAGCTGGGCTGTGTTTCATATTAAAGATCTTTGCTGGAACAGATCCCGGTGCTGCTTGTCTTGTCCGAAACGCAGAAACTCGGACTGCCGCTTGTTTTCAGGTGAACAGAAAGTGTCACGATATTTCAGGAGCGCGCTCACGTGTGCACGAGGAGAACATGCAAACTGCCCAGAAAGGCCCCACGCCCGCAGCCTTCTCGCTCCGAGGCGACAGCTTTACCCACTGCTCCACCGTGCTGACAATTTAAAGAAACCCAGATTAAGTTTTTAAAGAAACGTTCACGTTTTTTATCAAAAGTCCTGAACCAGAGAGCATTGAGATGTTTCTGGACGTTTCTGTGACGGCGAGCTTTCCTGCAAAAGTGCAAAATGAAACTCCCTGGAGAGAGTTTAGGACAGGAGATGAATCCCAGATGTTTCCCCTCAGTCGGCGCTCCAACAGATTCATCTGGAGATGTTTGGAGCAACCGCTTGAATAAAATGTCTCAAAACCTAAATTCCAATCATCTCCGTCATGTCGACTCTGGATTTATTAGAAAAGATCATCTGGTTTAAATTGAAAGCTCATTTTTTAACACTTCACCATTCTACTGTCAGATCCAGCTTTCTAATCGTCTAGTTTAAATGACGCCCCCCCCCCGACCCGATAAAACCCCCACGCCCTCATCTTTTCTCTCCAGGCCGCAGCAGCTAGAGAGCAGAAAAACACGTTTATTCTCTCACACTGACGAGTGTTCAGGTTTTCACCTGCTGCTGAACAGAACCTCCATGAGACGCAGGGCTGGACAATAACTCCATATCGATAAATATCACGATATACTTTTACTCGATAATGGTGATGTGAGTTTTAAGCACATTTTCGATATTTCGATGTCACAGACGTTTGCCGCACGTGCTAGGTTATGTTGTTGTTTAAAGTTAAAACAACTAATATTGACAAAGTTGAGAGTTTTATGTTTATTTGACGGTGATTCCAAATTTCTTTTGAAGGCTAAACACAAATAAAAGTTTCTGGACTTTAAAATGTAAACGTCTGTGTTTCTGTGTGTGCTGGTTTTAGTCAGAGAACAGCGGAAACCTCTTTAGTTAAAGCTTCGCCTCACTGAGTCTCAGGGTGACAGACGGCTGCTTTAGACCGATGTAGGCAACGTATCATGATGCTGCCACTACCGTGCTTCACTGTACAAATGACACCAGATGCATGAAAATTCAGCCAAAAAAGTCCAGATTTTAATCAACGGACCGGAGCTGTTTTAATAGAAATACAACAAACAGACTCGTAGGTTAAACAGAGTTCTTTTGGATTTATTTGAGTGTTTTGATTTGTTTTTTATTTTTGTTGGGTCTTCTGAACGTCCAAGCCCTCAGACCAGCAACATTCCAGTAGGCTTACGCAGCGTGGATGGTATGCAGGCTCTGAAAATACTCCTGGTGGTCCTCAACTGTCATTGATAAGGTCCGGTCTGGTTTGTTACCCCAGGAGGGCTACAGAACTCTGCGACCCAGTTTGGGGTCCAAACTTTGGGACCACACTGATGCTATTCTCTCTGAACTAAATCCAAACGCTTCGGTTCAAAAACATCAGCTGCACATTTCAGCTGCAAAACTAACTAAATTACAGCCATTTTTATTGGTCCAAATTCAGTTGGCTGTGGCAGCCATCTTAGATTGCGTTAACTCCAACAATTATTAAAGCGTTACTTCCTGGGAGTTTCATTAAAATCCATTCAGTGGTTCATGGGATTTTGCAAACAGGTAAACATGGCTGACGCTTGACGAGTTATTGTCAACGTTTAATGTTAAAATGAGCTCAGCTTGTAGTGCTAGTTGGGAATCACTGTCAGCTACTACCACACTAAATTTTAGCTCATTGGCTGTGAAAATGACCGAGTTATAGCCATTTTTGTATTTCATTAATCTGCTTAGCTGTGGCGGCCATCTTGAACCCAGTTGACTCCTAACACTTATCAGCTGAAGCTGTTAACCCACTTATTATTTCCTGTGAGTTTTACTGAAATTTGTCTAGTACTTCTTGAGATATTTTGCTAACAGACAGATGCAAAACCATTATCACCTTTTAGTGGCGGGCGACAGTGTCTTAATGTTTACAAAAACATTATTGGATCAGTAAAATACTGTGAGCAGCACGTTAAGAGTTAAAAGAAAGAAATATTAAAGATTATTCCTGGGACTGCACATTTAAATCTTGCATTTAGTTGTTTCGTCTTAAAATTTGGAGTTATTTATTGTAGAAAATGTTTTTAAAAGGTTTAAAATGTAGTTGTTTCAGTAAGAAGTGAAAACATCCAAATGTACAAATAAACAACAATTTAAAGGAAATATTTAACTCGTTTTTTCTTTGAATAATTACTTAGTCATATATGTGTGAAAAATATAATTAAATATAAAAATGTATAATATTAACTTGAGAGTTTGTTTACAGGAAACATGTAAATAAAAACAAACAGGACACAGAGCAGGTTCTGATGGCTCGGGTTCAGTCACACGCGCACACACAGGAACAGAACCGTGACCCACCTCTGCGGTCCGGGACGTCCACATGCTGCTCCCTCGGTTCGGTTCGGACTGAGAGCGGAGGTGTTGAGACAGAAGAAGAAGAGCCGGTCCTCCAGCCGCTCTGTCCCGCAGCTCGGGCTGATCTGCGGCTCAGACCCCGCATCCAAAGAAACAGGAGGACGCAGCGACACCACCTGCAGGTGGAGGCAGGTACTGCAGGAACACAGGTGGTTTTCTGTCCAGGTTTAAAGGTGTAGCTTAAAAATATTCTAATTCATGGTTATATTACTATATTATATGACTTATATTATTAATTATATATAACTATATTATATGACTTATATTATTAATTATATATAACTATATTATATGACTTA